GAGAGTACTTGTAACCTGTCCAAATGTAATAAAAGTTTACGAGAAAGCGTCAACATTGTTGACATGTTGACTGCTTTGTAAAGAATTCGTATGAAAACAAGACGTTCCTTCCCTTCAGACAGCTGTACAGATCAGTCAGTCAATCAGTGTCTGTAATGGAACTTAGCACAATTTTGTTACAAAAATTAATAAACTGCAACCGGAATTTACGCCTTACTGTTTTGGACATAACGTCCTAAGTGCGATTAACCGATATTTGTAAATAATATCCAAAAAAAAATCAGGCCCTACTAGATTGGACGTAAAAGCGATTAGTATCGAAAGTGCCGCGAAGATTCCAGTAAACAAGAAGGATCTCCTTACATCCTAGTTTAAAACGAATCCCAACTTTGCTGCATACTACCACAATTGTGAGTTATTTATAACATTGGTCAAACATATTACAACAAAATACTTTTTGAAAGAATATCTTTCATTTCTACTGTCTAAACAAAATGCAAACACATTACTTCTCAAATCAATTTTTCAAAAAGTAATGATTTACTTATGTAAAAATACGACCCTAAATCTGAGATTTATATAATATAAGATTATTTAAGTTCCTTTCAAACAAAGCATATTACGTTAATATTGTAGTATATATTAATTAACATGCAGGTTTCCCCATAATAATATTTGTTGCATTAGCAGGATCATAACCTATGTCTCTTTGCTTAAATTAGGACAAAACAATAGCACACCAAATTATTTTATACCCAGAACACAAACAACAAAAACCAAGAGAAAGCAAAAAACACAAACACTTCTTTAAAATTTAAATCTTAAAACCATTTTAATTTTTCTAATCAAAAAAAAAAAAAAAGAAAAAAAAAGTCGACAGTATCAAAAAGGCAACCCACCTTTTTTTAAAAGAAATAATTAATAAAACAAAAAAAAAAAAAACAACCCCCCACCAAAACCCCCACAAAAAAAAAAAAAAAAAAAAGAAAATTTATGTTGCAGAATGAATGGCAGATTCGGAAAGGGACGTCCTAGGCGAAAATTTATCGACCAAATTGGCAATTTATTGAAAACGGGCCAAATTAGGAGTACCCTTAACCGACGAGCATGTATGCGTAGGTATATGGATGTGAAGGAGGCGAGAGAGGTGCGTCAGGATCGTGCCAAATGGAAGTCTGTAGTCTCTGCCTACCCCTCTGGGTGACAGGCGTGAGTGTTTATGTTTTATGTTTTTAAATGCAAACCCGGCCATCTTACGCTGTCGACCAATCAGAAGCGAGAGTTCTTTTTCCAGGTATATATAATGTACTCTGTGGTTCTTTTGAGTTTTGTAACGGCCGCAGGAACATTTCTCTATGTGAATTACCTATACTGTATTCTAAGTGTTTTTGTGACTAATACTAAACAATAATAAAGCAGTGAAAATAGTATCATGGAAGGCCACCCCACTTTAGTAAATAACAACTTCACAGGAAAACGCAAAAGGAAAGAAAATCGCAGAAAATTGAGCTAGAAACCGGGCTAAAGAATTGAAGTAAGATTACACGTAGGGTTGTCATTTCTTGTCACGTAAAAGACCGTATTGTTGTAATATATTTTACTATGTTTTAGGTACTCGGCGAAATCATTACCCGATAGAGTGTACATTCATAATTCGAAAGCACTAAAATGTGCCACATTAACAATGGCTCAGTTAAAATAATTACAAGAAAATTTTTACAAACATAAAAAATAAAAAAGATACGACACTTTAACCTTTTTGAGCGCCAAAGTCGTCTATACGTGACCAGCACCCGCGTGCCCTGAGCGCCAACGACGTCTATAGATGACAAAAAACCCGGCCCACAAAAATATGAAATATAGACATTGGAAAATTATTACTGGTATTTTAATTCTACACCCCTCAAAAAAGAATAACCCAGCAACATGTGAGTATAAAAAACAAGTCTTCTAGAGCCACAAGTACTAAGAAACATTGAACTAAAAAAAATGGATTTTTATCTAAGCAAATACTATGTCCAGCACGCCAAAGTCGTCTATGTTAGACCGCTAGTGTTGTAATGCGTTAGCCATAAATTTATTGAAAACTATTCAAAATTAAGCTCAAACGTGTTATTTTTTTCTATTATTATTGATATTTAAATAAAACAAAAGGTTAGAAATATAAAACTATAATTAGCTACATGAATTTAAAAAAAAAATAACAAATTATCTTCGCATAATAAATCTAATATCTCAACTCTGGCGCATCCTTAGCGCGACATCGAAAATCAGTTCACTGGGCGCCGTGGTCAAGTATAGACGACACACTGATGACGTCATAAGCGATTAGCGGGAAAATTAGTGCAGTGCAACATGAACGATTCCTCAGAACTCATTCGGATTTTGGAAAGCGTCGACGATGATGAATTTTCGGAAATTTAAAATTATCGTGAAACCAAAGTTTTTCGTTTTCGATTAACTCTACCTCAATGAGGTAGGAATACACTTCATAGTCTTTTTACGGTTAATTTCTTTTTTATAGCATAGGGTAATAAACGAGCACACAGTCCACCTGATGGCAAGTGGTTGCTGTGGCCCATAGACATTTACACCTATCCTCGATTACGAATCAAAATGCAGATGCGCTCTCACCCGTGAGGACTTAGATGGAATGCCTCGTTTCCAGTAAAGAGGGTCTCCGGGTCTCTACACTTACCATACGAAACACAGCAGCATTAAGCTACTATTTGATGCCGATATTCCGTGAGAGCGTGGTTCTTCCCCGGTTGAGCCGACCCATTCGTGCTACAACTACTAACTCCCGTAATATAACTGCAGCATGGCTCTACCAAGTTAGAAAATTTGCTTTGGCCAGCTAAACATTTATGTTTTATTATTCCATAAGATTTTTATTATTTTAAGACTAATATTACCTATAATTTATTAATTATTTTTAATTGTTGTTTTCTATATTAAGTACTGATTGAGTTAAAGACCAAGATTTTAATATTTTATGACTAGACCTAGTGCAAATAATTATTTACAATTGTTGAATAATTATGTACCCTTTGTTGATTTCTGTAATAAGTACTGATTTTTTTATTCCATGACCAAGATTTTAATATTATAAGACTGATTTTTCTAGTGCGAATAATTACCTATATACAGTTGTTGATTAGTGAATAATTACGTACCTTTTCTATTTTAATAATATAAAATTACAAATAATAAATGTGTTTTCTTACTTAAGGTATGAAGAGCAATTTTCATTTTGTGTTGTGCGATTTTCTTTCTCAATCTCAAAATCATTTAGCAACATCAGTATCATATGAAACCCCCTTTATCATAAGAGCGTAAGACTTTTCTTCTGTGATTCACTTGGCCTACGCCTTGCCATAAAATATTTTGAATAGATGTCTGTATATTTTGGTTACATCGATTTTGAAATCGATACACAACGTGCGACACGGCTACATCTCTAAGAAAGTTTCAAAAAGAAAGGTCAGCTACGCCGTTGTCGTCCAGTCGTGACAGTGACGTCATCACGACGAAGAGTAGTGTTGTGGTTTACTACTATTTTATTGTTATTGTTTGTTTTTTATTTATGTACAAAGTACATATATAAAAAAGAGTGGAAGACAGCACAAGATTAAATAAAACATACCCGATTATAAAGACTCATTTATTGTATAAAAAACCAACAAAAACAAGTTATTTTGTGTTATCGATATATCAACTCTTGGCAGCACTGTTTTTTTCGTAGGTATTTTTGTTTACTTTTCGCTTTGGCGTACAGGACACGGTAGTGAGTTTTTGGCGTGGCGCTCAAAAGGTTAATATTAAAATACTGTTCTGTTGAACCTGGGAAGCGGAAAGCGGGTTTTAAAGGGACAAAACAAAAACAATTAAATATGCCGTTTTTCTACGTAATGTTAAGGTGCCCCATATGTCAGAAATACAACAAAACACAGAGTGGCGTATGTAATGAATATATTTTTTCATGCTGGAGATATAATCATTGATGAGAAGCGCGGTAATAAGAGTTTCTTTTATTTTATTTTATGGATAGTATGGTCTTTAATTTTGGGTACCCATATATTTTGAGTTATTTTATTTTATTCCAGGTGGAAATAGTAAGGAACATTTATGTGGAGAACAAAAACTAGCTACAGAACAAAGACAGCTGAAAGAAAATATTTATCCTCAGATTTGAACATCCACAAGCTGTACAAAAGCTCTACAACAATAGTGAGTGTTCGAATGCTGCTTGCTACAATTTAGGCTTTGGAACACCAAATACTGACGTATGTTCAAAGTGTTTAGAGCTTGCTGGAAAAATAAAAACAGCATTCTGGTGGGTGCATGCTCTAAATGTCTTTTGGAGCATCAATATATTAAGACAATCGAGTTGGTGTTTCCAGTGACAGAACACTCGTTTATGCCTGCTGACCGGCAATTTGGCATTGCTGAGAAAAAAATGCGCAAAATGGATGTAATATTACATCCTGATGTAGGGGAAAGTTGGGTAGCCCCAGACGGCGGGTAACCCCGGACATTTAAATATCAAAGAAACTAAACACGTTGCGTAGGTAAAACTTTACTATAAATGCGCGCCCTCTGGAGCAAAAGCATATCCAACTCAGTTGCGGTGTGGCCGCCAAGCTAGTTACCCGTGAGTGTGTGTTTTGTTCCCGCCAAAAAAACTTCGTCGCTCCTGTTAAACTTCATTGAAGGTTACTAAGTACAATACGTAAGTGTGCATACTACATAGGATTTTAAACATTTTTTTTACCTATTTAAGAGCTGTGTTTAAAAATATTGCATGATAACGATCGGGTAGGTACCCCCGGGCACGATAATGTCGGGTACCTCCGGACAGTGGTTTAAGTTTTCAAGAAACAGGGGTATCAAATGTGCATAAACATGATAAAGTCATTTCCATAAAAGGACAAAAACAGGTTGGTAAATTAACATCTGCAGAACTCTTTCTGCATCGAAATATCACATTAACTTTTGTGATGAATGTCACTGGTCATTTCATACCAACCCTTTTCATTTTTCCTCGGAAGAAAATGGATAAGAACGGTCGCTTGATGATAGGAGCTCCACCAGAGAGTATTGCTATAACTCAAGAGAGCGAATGGATGAACGGTGAGGTGTTCTTCCAATGGTTGCAACATTTTAAACAACATGTTCAGCCAACAGAAACAAATCCTGTCCTCTTAATTTTGGATGGCCACGCTAGTCATAAGGAGCTGGCAGTTATAAAATATGCACATAATCATAACATTCATATACTGAGCACACCACCTGATACAACTCATAAATTGCAGCCGTTGGACATTTTTTAAACCTTTTAAGTCTGCATTTGCAACTGCAAGTTCACCATGGATGAGGCGAAATCCTGCAGCTAGAATCACTGACTATGATATTGCTGCACTTGTGGACGAAGCCTTTAGCAGAGCAGCAAGCTTGGATATAGCACAAAACGGATTCAAGTGCACAGGAATTTATCCATTTAACCCTGAAATCTTTACTGACATTGATTTTTTACCATCAATGGTGACAGATGTGATGCAAGAAGTTTCTTCCAAAGAAAATATGGCCAATCAGTTCTCAGTAGCACATTCTTTATCGCCAGTACCCTCCACTAGTCATGCATTACCTACAAATGAACCGGAGCCTTCAACCAGCTCAACAGATATATTGAAACAGCTATCACCATTTCCTGATGCATCAAAAAAACGGTCGTTAAAGCGGGCTCGTAAAACTCAAAGGAGCGAGATTATTACATCATCACCTTACAAAAAAGATGTAGAGGAAAGACAGAAAAGTAGAGACAAAAAGCGAAAAAACAAAAAAGTAAAGGCACTAAAAAAGATGTTAAAACAACTAAAAATATTCAAAGTCTTTCCAAAGAAAATCGAGAAGAAGAGACCGAATGCATCATATGTGGAGAAACATTTGAAGAGGACTGGATTCAGTGCCAGGAATGCAAAAACTGGGCCCATGAAGACCGTGTTTACATAGATTCTTCGGATGTTTATTTTATTTGTGATGTTTGTAAGGCCAAAAAACGATTAGGCCTGGATATTGATTACTATGTCCGGGGCGACCCACCGTCTTTTGTATCGTCAAAAATATAAGACCAAAGTATTTTCAATATATTTCTTTAAAAAAAATGATATGATTACTAATTTTAATTATTGTGATTAAAGAAGTTCCTAGCCTTACTTTAAGTGTAAAATAAAGACGATGTTTATTAATATTTTTATTTGCAATTGATTTTAGTGTCTGGGGCTACCCGAACCTCCCGTAATAAAAGACGTTGATAAAGTTTGGGGACGATTGCCCAGTTTACAACTGGCGAGATGCCGTGAATTTAGTTTTAAAACCAACTTCGTCATGAAATATCGCATTTAAAGAATGCAAACGATTTGTTCTGAGACACTCAAAAATATCCGGAAATGTTTTGGTAAGGGGAGAACTTTACTATCAAAATGATCTTGGAAAATCACAAAACATTAGTCAACGAAATAAAACTCCTAATGATATAATACCTAAACAGTTACCTAACATAGTACCCGCAAATAAAAATAAATAGGATGATTATAAAAAATTGCTTCAAAAACATTTTGACCCAGATTGGAGAGATATAGCAATTTTATCCATTTATAAAGACATACTAGATGCGCAGGAGAACCTTACCGCGCCTGAATTTCAGGAACATTGATGGATATTGCATGGATATTGCAAATGCGGTATCCATCGGTAATCCAGGTCTTATCATTAATCCAGGACTTATCCAGTGGCTTGCGTTACTTGGTGCGTCAGAACTCTCGAAAGATTCCACACAGGATCCTCAAATGCTGTATACAACATCGTATCGGGTAACGAATCCTGGATATACGCATACAAACCCGAAACAAAAAACCAGTCACGAGTTTGGGTATTCGAAAATGAGTTAAAGCCAACAAAAATTGTTCTTTCACGGAGTGTTGCAAAAAAAATGGTGGCAACGTTTGTCTCCAAAACCGGCCATGTTACGACTATTCCTCTTGAGGGATAAAGAACGGTTAATGCAGAATGGTATGCTAGCATTTGTTTGCCACAGGTCGTTTCTGAACTCCGTAAAGAGAACTGCAACCGCTGATAATGCGAGTTCTCACACCGCACACAGAACAAAAGAGTTTTTAGAGCAAGAAAACATAGGATTATTAGACCACCCGCCGTACAGCCTCGACCTAAGCCCTAATGATTTCTATACTTTCCCTAAAATAAAGAATAAATTGCGACATTGGACAGAGATTTTCATCACCTCTATGCAAGCGTGCTAAAAATTCTGGGAAACCATATCCGAAAACGACAAATTAGAAAACCTTCCCAAATTATATAACTTGGGACAAAGAATGAACAAGATATCTATCTCCAGGGGTTAATATCCCGTAAGGACATAAAACGACGCCGAGTGCTGAAGGAGATCCCATTGATACAGAACATACACCGTTCAAATTGGTAATGAGAAGAAAGAAGTACGCATTCTGCTTTTCTTAGCTTGTTTGGTATTACTAAGGACCGTGCTAAGAGGCTCCGTGACTTGTTGGTTTTGGGTAAAATACTGGAAGACAAGAGAGGGAAATTGAAAACGGTCAATGCGATGTCTGGTGATGAAATTACTGCAGTGGTCTCTAATATATCCTGTTTTCCAGTAAAAAAGAGCCACTACTCTTCTGGCATAATAAAGTATCTTCCTGCTAACTTATTAGTAAAAAAAATTTCGACTTTATAAGGAAAAATGCCCAGAAACTAGGATTAAGTACGAACATTATAATAAAATACTCAGGGAGAACTTCGCTCTTCGCTTTGGATGACCAGCAGTAGATACATGCTGCCTCTGCGAGAGTCTAGACTTGAAAATCAATTCAAAAACCCGGAATTACGTAGCTAAAAAGGTAGCTTTGGCCAAAAAGCCAGTACACAAAAAGAGGGCAAAGAAGTTCTATAATAAACTTCAAGAAACAATGCAAGGATCCCAAGAAAATGAAACGTTTTTGGGAATTTGCTATGATTACATGAAGAATGTGTCACTGCCAATAATTCCAGTGCAAGAAATATTTTATTTGCGGCAACTGAGTGTTTCTATCTTCTGCATTCACAATTTGAAAACGGGAAAAAATGTTCGTAAATCATGAAGGGCAAGCAAAGAAGGGACCAAACGAAGTATGCTCGTTTGTTATGACATACATTAAAGAGTACTTCGACAAAAAGTGATAGAACTAATGCTCTTTTCTGATAAAAAATAAAAACAATACAGCAGTACGAATGAATGTGGCCCCAGTTGACAGTGGGCGTTTTAAAAAATATCAACAGATCTTCCCGATACGTGGCCATTCTTTTCTGCTGTGTGATAGAGCGTTTGGGATTATAAAAAGAATCCTTCGTCGTAAAGAGAGGCTGTACAGTGTACAGGAATTTATGAAATTAATCGTATCTTCGAGCAGGCAGAGTGATTTTTTACAGTTCTCTTCAGCACAGTCAGCGGAGAGCATGTGACCGAGTTTAAAAAATGGTGGGTTCAACACTTCAAAAAGACTGCACTATCCCTTGAAACAAAAGATAACGTAACAGAAGAGAAAGTAAGCTTCAGTATCTCAAAGTTCCATCACCTCACATTCAAAGATCTGCGGTGAAGTGCTGGTAAAAACGCAGGAATTCATTGATGGACTGACAAAGTATACATTTTTGTTGAAGATAAGGGCACAGATTGCAAGACACCAAGACCAAGACAGCTCTGCATTAATGCAAACAAGATGCAAGACCTGAAAAAATGCGTTCAGTTTGTGTCTGAAGACGAAAAAGTTAAATTCTGGGACGAAATGTTGTAGTGGCCAACAGCTGAAAAGGTCGAAGATGAAGAATTAGATTAATTCTGTTAGTTTTTTACGAAAATAAATATTATGAAACATTCGTACAAATTGGACTTTGATTGTAAAAACACACCTTGTACATGATGACTGTAAAAATCCACCTCATCCTAAAACTTTAAAAAATCAAATAAAAAAAATCTATGAATATATTATACACCCACTTTTTAACATACCATATATTAAATATTTTAACATAAATAGTAAAAAAAAGAAAAACATGGCCTTCAGTTTTTTTTACACCAGACAGTCTGAAACTTTCCATTTTCGTGTTTTTACAATCATGCATTCAATTATTTTCTATGCCAACTCATGGAACCAGCTCCGTTCTATTGCATAGAAAAAATTAAACAATGTGAGTGGCTTCAACGAAATTTACTCCAACGCTAACATTAATAAAACCAAACTTATCCCATTTTGTATAAGTAAGCACCGTCAGAAAATCTTGAACTTACTCCACTATCGTCTAAATAAAGATCCTCTACAATGCCAATGTGAGCGACTTGAACAAGTTAGTACTATTAAATATCTGGGTATTGTTATCGACCAAAATCTGACCAACTGGTTGGCATAAATAGAAGCAGTCTCGAAACGTTTAAAAAAACTTATGCATATTTTCAAAAAACTAAGCACTGTTGCTGATTTAGACCTAATAAAAATGATTTATCGTAGCCTGTGCCAATCAGTTTTAAATTATTGTATAGCAGTATGGGGAGCTACTTGCAAATCGCACTTACTTAAATTTGAGCGTGTTCAGAAAGCAATGGCAAGACCCGGCAGTACAGAGCATTTCCGACCGGGACACCGTATGGAAGGTGAAGGAGCTCCACGGGAGGTTCTACAAGGCTCTACATAAACCTTAATGAACTTTGTTTTGTAACATAAATGGTTACAAAACAAAAAATATGAAGAAACCGAAGCATTATTAAAAAATCTTATCCAAAATAAAAAATAAAAACATTTGCGGATAGTATACCTGCGGACAGGACACCTAACACATATATATGTGTTAGTTTTTCTTTTATTTTTTCTGTGTTGTAAATTATGTATGTAAGAAATCCACTCGGACATTACATCGGTTAACCATTAAGTTCTAGATAAATGGGAAGACTGGTCTCCACAAAACAGTTAATCCTAGTGTGGACTCCAGTGATACTGTTTGAAATTATTAATAAAAAATATGAGAAGAGTTAAAACTAGAGGAGGATCCGCATCTTCTAACAATCACCAGTTAAAAACCGCTCGTGACGTGTGTCAAATACAGAGTGCAAAATGCCTATGGAGTAGCAGCTTTCGGAAATGTTAAATGAAAATGATGTGAGCGAGAAAATAACGCAAGTGACCAATTTCAGCCACAACTTTCAGATCAACAACTTCTGAACATACTTAAAGCTTCTGATGACAATTTCGATGATGAGGTTCTAGATTAAGACTCTTTTTAGAAATTTTAGTACCTCCAACTAGTGACGGCGAGTGTTTAAATCGGTCAGACCAAATATATCCCATAAAAGGTTTGCTTTTGAAGGAAATACAATGGGATTAAACGTACCACTATAGTCCGTTCGCATTAAGAAAATAGTGAGTCAGCGTTGTCCGTCGGCCTGGCCACGCCCCCCAGCCAATTAAAATGAAAGATATTAGAAAGTCGAGTTCACAATGACCAGTTGAAGTCAGGCCTTCGAACAAAACGGTTGTGTATTTTACGTGTTACTCGTTCAACATTAAATTTTGAATATGAATAATTCACCTATTCGAAAGAATAAAAGTGGATCAATAATCCATAGCGGTGAGACGCGTAATTTACAATGTTTATAAGTACTTTAAACTGTGTGATTCAAATGCGACTGTGGAGAGCACAGTAATAAAAACAGCAAGTACATGTGGTTTGTCCGAAAATACTGTTTATAAAATTATTAAAGAACAAAAGGATACTAACACATTAAAATCACCCGTGAAAAAAAGAGCTCGACTATCGACAGTCGATAAATTAGATGAACTAGACAAATGTGCAATAAGGAGAAAAGTTCACTCAATATATTTAAATAACGAGTACCCGACATTGGACAAAATTATGACACTTTGCGAAGCTAACGAAGATGTTCCCGT